ACAAGGGGCTCCATCTCATGACCCTGAGATCACGACCTGAGCCAAAACCAAGAGTCCAACGCTTAACTGACTGAGCCACCCAGGCGCCTCAAGAGTGGTTTTTTTGTTTGTTTTAGATTCTACATATAAGTGAAATCACATTGTATTTGTCTTTCTCTGTCTGATGTATTTCACTTAGTATAATACCCTTCAGATCCAGCCATGTTGTTGCAAATGGTAAGATCTCATTCTTTTCTATGGCTGAGCGTATATATATATATACACACACACACGCACACACAACATCTTCTTTATCTATTCATCTTTCGATAGACCCTTGGGTAGCTTCCATATCTTGGCTATTGTAAATAATGCTGCAATAAACATAGGGGTACATATATCTTTCTGAATTAGCCTTTTGTTTTCTTTAGGTCAATACTCAATAATGGAATTACCAGATCATACAGTATTTCTGTTTTTAATTTTTTGAGGAACCTCCATACTGTTTTCCACAGTGGCTGCACCAATTTACATCCCTACCAACAGTGCATGAGGGCTTCCCTTTCTCTGCAACCTTGCCAACACTGTCTTTTGATTGTCTTTTTGATTCTAGCCATTCTGACAGGAGTAAGGTGCCAACAGTGCTTTCTTTAAATAATTTTGGAACTTTTCTTTTGGTACTGCTTAAAAGTCAAGTTTATGAATCATAATAAAATTGTCATTACTTTATAGTATCACCTGCTTTTGATATAAAATAGTACTGAATAAACTGATGAGCTATCTTATTATGCAGACTGGCATCAAACAAATTTTATATTTCCCAAAACCAAATCTACTTTCAAGGAAAATCGTGCTGCTACTGATGATATTCATCTAAATGTGCTGCACATTCTGGAGGTAAATTAAAGAACAATTTCCAACATTTTTTCAGCAATCACTTCTATAAGTACTTAATTTTATGAACTATAATTTTGAAGGGGTTAATACTTATTTTGATGTGAAATTTTGGCAAATAAGTAATATGTCAGCAACATTTAATAAATATTGCTTGAAATAAGTGTGCTGTTGACTAAGGCTTCTCATAAAAGATCTGAATGCTTATCATTAAGTGGAATCTAACTTTATATAAAAACATGAAATACTTACTGGAATATACACAATGGTAAGCTTTGGTTTTATTTGCAATCATTAACCAAAAAAACGTAAACCCTTTTTAAAGTGAGCAATCATCACCTTAACAGTACATACACAAATTAGTAATGGAATCCAGATATTGAATATTAATATACACATCTTTCCTTCTACTCTGGACATGAAACTGAAACTAGCAAAAACTGGGATCTTAAAAACCAGCTATAAAATTCAAATATATTAAGCTGTATACATATGTTACGCATTCATGAACAAGCTTTCAGCTTATTATATCTGACTACTCAGGACACTGGTTGGTAATTCATTAGCCAAGACATATTCCACGTCACACTCCCTGCTGCAAAGTACAAAAACCAATGGTGTTATCACTGGATATTGTACATCAGACATATATTTCTCATGCCACTAAGAGAGTGTTCAGCAAATCATATGGGCTTGCTTCTTTGCCTAGATATTTACATAGAAATCTTTCTAGTAAGTTCCATCAGTATGGTAAGTAGCTGTCCTTTGTCACAGACATACATTACATTAAAGGTAAGAGAATCAATTTACCCTTTGAAGACATTTGTTGAAGCTCCTCCTTCAGATTAACATGTGCTTCTATAAAAGAAACAAATTTTCAGGTAATCTGGCTTTTTTTTTTTAAGTGATCTCCAGTTTTAATTTTTATATTTTTGGCCTTTGTTGATTGTTTTTAATTTCTTAACTTCTACTCATACCTTACAACTTTTACAGCTCTCTATTAAGTTTTTTTTTTTTCTGACAAAGACAAATAGTTCATTACACATAACATGTACTTTCAGTAAGAAGGGCAGAATAGCTTCTACTTAATGATGATGTATTCTGTTTCTCATGTAAAAGAGAAAAACCTGATCACAGTCAAATGTATAAAGCTGGCATTTTATTTAAGACTTTATTTATTTATCTGAGAGAGAGAGGGAGAGAGCACGAGCAGGGGGAGGGGTAGAGAGCCAAGTGGACTTCCCGCAGAGCAGGGAGCCCAACATGGAGCTCCATCCCAGGACCCTGTGATCATGACCTGGGCTGAAGGCAGATGCTTAACTGCCTGGGCCACCCAGGCACCCCTAAAGCTGACATTTTAAAGGGATGTTAATTAATGAATCTTTGATCAAAGTATACTTTTTAAAATTTTTTTAAAAATTTATTTTTTAAAGATTCATTTATTTATTTGAGAAAGAGAGAGAGAGAATGTGCACAGGCATGTGAGCAGGGGTAGGGGCAAAAGAAGAGAATCTTTAAGCAGACTCCCTACTGAGCCCAGTGGAGGCAGACTCCAGCTCAACTCTGGGCTTGATGCCTCAACCCATGCGATCATGACCTGAGCCGATACCAAGAGTCGGACACTTAATGGACGGTGCCCTGTTTTTCTTTTTTTCAAAGATATATTTATTTATTTGAGAGAGAGAGAGAGAGAGTGCGCACGGGCATATGCAGGGGGCGCGGGTGGGGGGAGAAGGGACAGAGAGGGAGGGAGAGAGAGTCTCAAGTAGATTCCCCACTGGGCACAGAATCTGATGCAGGCTTGATCCCACAACCCTGAGATGATGACCTGAGCCGAAATCAAGAGTCCGACCATTAACTGATGGATCCACCCAGGCACCCCTAAGAAGAAAAAAATCTATTGTAAGATTTCTTCAGGGGCACTTGGGTGGCTCAGTCAGTTAAGTGCCTGACTCTTGATCTCGGCTCAGGTCTTGCTCTCAGGGTCATGAGTTTAAGCCCTGTGTTGGGCTCCACTACTTAAAAAATATATATATTTCTTCAGCAGATAAACACTACAATGGTGATTTTAAATTCCTTATGATGTACACCACGCAGCAGACTATCATTAAGAATGCAGGCTTCAGGGGTGCCTGGGTGGCTCAGTCGTTGAGCATCTGCCTTCGGCTCAGGTCATGATGCCAGGGTCCTGGGATCGAGCCCTGCATTGGGCTCCCTGCTCAGCGGGAGGCCTGCTTCTCCCTCTTCCACTCCCCCTGCTTGTGTTCCCTCTCTCGCTGTCTCTCTCTGTCAAAAAATAAAAATCTTTAAAAAAAAGAACGTAGGCTTCATTTTTTTTTCCCATGCTGATAGTACTCTCACAAACATGGTGAATGGTCCCAAAACCCACCAGACTTTCTGCAAGGAAGTTTCTGTAAGTACCAACCCCACAAAGTGACACAGTACAAGAAAGGCAAAGATTCTCTTTACACCCAGGGAAAGCAAAGTTATGACAGGAAGAGTGGCTACAGTGGGCAGACTAAGTGGATTTTCTGGAAAAAGGCTAAAACTCCAAAGAAGATTGTGCTGAGGGTTGAATGCGTTGAGCCCAACTGCAGATCTAAGAGAATACTGGCTATTAAGAGATGCAAGCAGTATGAACCGGGAGAAGATACGAAGAGAAAAGGACAAGTGATCCAGTTCTAAGCTTCATACTTTGTTATATTATGAAGACAATAAAATTTTGAGGTATGTTCACTTCATTTGGTTGCAACTGGGCTTTTAAGAGGAAAATAAACTAGTGCTGTCAATAAAATTCTCCTTGTGGGGAAACTTAAGCTTAAAAAAAAGTAGAGGTTTCAGAGTAAGATTGCCTGTGTTCAAATCCTGATCGTGACACTTACTAGCTGAGTATCTTGGACAAGTCATTCCACCTCTTTGTGGCTTCATGTCCTCATCTGTAAAACAGTACCCACCTCAGATGGCTGTTGGGATGATTAGACAATAAATGTGAAGGGCTCCACACAATAGCTGGTATATGCTAAGTGCTCACTAAATGTTCAGGAACATAGTTATATATTAAATGGAATTTGGGAGATTCACTTTTAAACATCTTTTGTTATATAATTGATCTGAATATCAGTCAGAAACAATAGTGAGTAATAAACAATGTTGGGGGAAGGGAGGGGAAGGGGCAGGGGAAAAAAGCAGAGATCAGACATTTTAGCAGACAAAATAAGAAGTAGAAGAGATAGATATCATTCCACAATCATCCATATTTCAGAATCCTGAGGACAAAGTGTAAGAGTTTTAAAGAGCTCCATTTTTATGAATGAATGAAAGGCCAAGAGTTAGTTAAATATAACAGATTTAACCCTCTCCTTTTATTTAAATGTAGAGCAAAATGACAAAACCATAAGATAACTGTACTTCTCTAAAAAACCTGGTATGTGGCATTCATGGAGAAATTTAGTGAAATAATCTATATTGAGCCACTCCAAATAACAGTTAGGACTATCCTAACAATTATGAATAATATAGGCTTCAGGTTTCTATTTAGGTCCTTGGCCCCATAGCCTGCCTTTCTCAATATACCAAGTCTCATGTCCCAAAGAATTATGGTGCTTTCAAATTTAGCCCCACAGTAAACAAGCACTGCAGTCCTCAATAGACTACATTCTTAAAACCTGTTTCTGTAGAGACAGTCTTCTCACACGAATGCTGATCTAATTCCAGTGATTTTAGAGCTATAATTAGAGAAAAGTATGAGAGGTTCCTCTTTACATTAATTAGTATTTAATAATGCTTATTAAAGTGCCAGAGCACTCAGTTAACATGATATATTGAGCTCTGAAAAAATATCTGTTAATTATAATTATAAGGTCCACAGAAGAACTAAACTATAGGTTGTAGTAAACATGTACACAAACTCCTTTCTTGAAGTTGGGAGAAAAGCTGGTTGGATCTACAATAAAGAAAGAGGGGGCGGAGAAAAAGATAAAGTAGCAGAAATGAAAGCGATGTGACTAAGCTCACCAGTGTGCAGACAGATGTGGAAAATGTGGAGACAGCTTACGGTTACTAAGATGGTTAAGCTACTTCAAAAAATTTTTCAGAGTGGGGTATTAATATTTTACTTTTTAAAAAGAATGATGGGGACTTTTGGAGCTGGCTCAGATGGAGTAAACCTAGTGTTGCCTCAATCATACAATGATTACTACAGAAACTCTGGACAAAACAACCAAACAACTACCTAAGGACTACAAATGTAAACAGTAACAAGAGGAGAGAGGGCAGCAAAAACTGCAAAAGAAACCTCGTCCCTCTGGCCAGAGAACAGGGAAAGGGGCTGCTGGGGGATGTCCTTATGGAGGGAAACCACCCTCTTTTTTTTTTCCCAGCCTGGCCTTGAAGGCAGTCCCAGTTGGGGAACTGCATGGCAGCAACACAGGCAGTGAAAACCCCCAGAAAAGCCCCCATCTTTCTGGCCAGAGTGGTCGGAAGAACACAGGGGCCGGGGGTGGGGGCGGGCGGGGGAGATATGGTTATTTTGTTCTCTCTTTTCTCCTGCCACTTTGCCCTGAGGGCACCCCGAGTTACCCAGAACTGTGCAATGGCAGCACAGGCAGCTACAACTCCTAGAAAAACCCCATCTTTCTGGCCACGGGGCTAGGTAAAGGGTCCCCTGGGAGCCAGGGAGTGTGAGAAGAATACTGGAGAGGAAACAGCTAAGGAGGGTTCCCCTAACAGTGCGTATAAATGGCACCAGTCCCAGACTTACCCTTGAACTCTGCAGGGATAGGACATACCCAAAGCAGCATTACAAAGGCTTTGAAAACTGAACTAAAATTAAAACCATCACACAAAAAGGCACCACAGAACTGGCAGTCTGAAACCAACCAGGCTAGTGACTGCTAAAACAAAAGAAGTAAATATTCTCTAGAGGATTTTGAAAGGACCCAAAGTTCCAAAATATATTATTAAAAATGTACAGGATACAACCCAAACTTGCTTGACATACAAAGAAACAGAAAAATTGGGGCACCTGGGTGGCTCAGTCAGTTAAGCATCTGCCTTGGGCTCAGGTCATGATTCTGGGGTCCTGGGATTGAGTCCCGCATCGGGCTCCCTGCTCAATGGGGAATCTGCTTCTCCCTCTGTCCCGCCCCCCTGCTTGTGCTCTCTCTCTCATAAATAAAATCTTAAAAAAAAAAAAAAGAAAGAAAAATTTCACCAATCATGAAGGGAAAAAAGAATCAATCCAATCCCAAAGCAAATCAGGTACTGGAATACTCGAGACTTTAAATCAGTTATCATAACTATGTGCTCTCGGGGCACCTGGGTGGCTCAGTCGTCAAGCGTCTGCCTTCGGCTCAGGTCATGATCCCAGGGTCCTGGGATCGAGTCCCGCATCGGGCTCCCTGCTCAGCGGAGAGCCTGCTTCTCGCTCTGCCTACTTGTGCTCTATCTCTCTGTCAAATAAATAAATAAAAATCTTAAAAAAAAAAAAAAAAGATTAAAAAAATAACTATGTGCTCTGGGGTAAAGGTAAAAACACTTCAAATGAATAAGTGTCACTTGAAGAAATAGAAACTATACAAAGAAACCAAGTAGAAATTTCAAAATTGAAAAAGATAATATCTGAAACAGTAAGTTCACTGGATGGCTCACTAGAGGACTGATGACCACAAAGGAAAGAATCAGTACTGTTGGTTACAATGACAGAATTGAACAGTATCAACAGAGTCCACATAGTTCACAAAGTCTGAAATATTTATTGTCTGACCTGTTACAGAAAAACTTTGCTGACCTCCGGTCTAAATATACGAATTAGAAGACAGAGAGATTGTCAAATGGGATTTTAAAAATATGATTCACTATATGCTGTTTACAAGAAATCCAATTTAAATATAGTGAATGACATAGGTTAAAAGTAAAAGGATGAAAAAAGATCTATCAAGTAAACACTAATCAAAAGGAAACTGGAGTGGCTATGTTAATACCAAATAAAATAGACTTGAGAACAAGAAATATTACCAGGAATAAATAGGGACATTACATAATAATGAAAAAGATCAATTCACCAAAAGACATAGCAACCCTAAATGTGTAGGCACCTGACCAAAAAGCTTTAATATGGATAAAGCCAAATAGAAATCAATAAAATACAAAGCAGAAAAAAACTGAAATCAAACATGGTTCTTTGGGGAAAAAATTTTAAAAGAAGACATTACTGTAGATATTAAAAGGATAATAAAAGATTACCATGAACAACTCTTACTATAAATTCTTCAACTTAGAAGAAACAGGTAACTTGAATAATTTTATATCTATTAAAGAAATTGAATTCATAGCTAAAAACCTTCCAACATAGAAAACTCCAGGCCCAGATGGTTTCACTGGTTCTATACAGTCTCTTCCAGAATGCAGAAGAGGGAACACTTTCCAACCCTAAGAGGTCAGCACTACTCTAACAAAGCCATAAAAAGACATTGTAAGAAAGGAAAACCACAGGCCAATACTCCTCATGAACAGAGATACAAATATCCTCAACAGGATGCTAGCAAACTGAATCCAGTGATGACAATCCCTAACAATCAATGGGGGTGGCATATGCAAATCTAGTTCAATATTTGAATGTCACTTTAATTCACCACATTAACAGACTAGATAAAAACTCTCAGCAAACCAGGAATAAAAGGAAACTTCCTTAACTTGAAGAGGGAACTTTAAAAAATCTACAGCTGGGGCACCTGGGTGGCTCAGATGGTTAAGCGTCTGCCTTTCGCTCAGGTCATGATCCCAGGGTCCTGGGATGGAACCCTGCATCGGGCTCCCTGCTCAGCGGGGAGTCTGCTTCTCCCCCTCCCTCTGCTTCTACCCCTGCTCATGCTCTCTATCTCGAATGAATAAATTAAAAAAAAAAATCTACAGCTAACATTATACTTAATGGTGAAAGACTGAGTGACAATAAGGCAAGGCTGACTATTTTCATTCCTAATCAACCTCATAGGGCGCCTGGGTGGCTCAGTCGTTAAGCGTCTGCCTTCGGCTCAGGTCATGATCCCAGGGTCCTGGGATCGAGTCCCACATCGGGCTCCTTGCTCGGCAGGAAGCCTGCTTCTCCCTCTCCCATTCCCCCTGCTTGTGTTCCTGCTCTTGCTATCTCTCTCTCTGTCAAATAAATAAATAAAAATCTTAAAAAAAAAAAAAAAAAAAAAAAAAAAAAAAAAAAAAAAGAAAACCTAATCAACCTCATACTAGATGGTCTAACCAGTGCAATAAGGAAAGGAAAAAAATTTTTATTTTATTTTTTTAAAAGATTTTATTTATTTATTTGAAAAGAGAGCGAGAGAGCACAAGCAGGGGGAGCTCAGGCAGAGGCAAAGGGAGAAGCAGACTCCCCGCAGAGCAAGGGGAGCGTGATGTAGGACTCGATCCCAGGACCCCGGGATCATGACCTGAGCCAAAGGCAGACGCTTAACCAACTGAGCCACCCAGGCGCCCGGAAAAAAATTTTTAAAGCATATTGGAAAACAAAACATGAAAGTGTCTCCGGAAAAGAAAGCATTAAACCGTCTATATTCATAGATGATATGATTGTGTAGCAAATCACAAGGAATCTACAAAAAGCTCCTATAACAAGTGAGTTTAGCAAATTTCTATATACTAGAATACTGGAAATTGAAATATTTTTAAAGTATCATTTACAATCACACTAAAAACAGGAAATATTTAGGTATAAATATAACAGAATACCTATAGATCTGTATGCTAAAAACTACAACACTGGGGGTGCCTAGCTGGCTCAGTCAGTGGAGCATAGGACTCTTGATCTTGGAGCTGTGAGTCTGAGCCCCATTGTTGGGCATGGAAGTTACTTAAAAAGAAATAAAAATTAAAATCAAAAAAATTTAAAAACTATAGCACTGATAAAAGAAATCAAAGACCTAAAAAAATGGAGATTTATATTCATGGATTGGAAAATACAGTATTTTCAAGATGTCAATTCTCCCCAAATTAATCTACAGATTCAACTCAATCAGAGTCTCAGCATGATTTTTTGTGTAGACATTGACAAGCTGATTCTAAAGTTTTTATAGAAAGGCAAAGGAACTAGTTTAAACAAAATAATTTTGAAAAGTAAAAATGAAGTTAGAAGGACTTCACCATCTGATGTCAAGATTTGCTATAAAGCTACAGTCATCAAGACAAGGTTGTACTGGGGGTGCCTGGATGGCTTAGTCAGTTAAGCGTCTGCCTTCAGTTCAGGTCATGATCCCGGAGCCCTGGGATTGAGCCCTTCGTCAGGATCCCTGCTCAGTGGGGAGTCTGCTTCTCCTTCTCCCTCTGCTCCTCCCCGAGCTCGTGCTCTCACTCACTCAACTCTCTCCAATAAATAAATAAAATCTTAAAAAGAAAAAACAAAAAGACAAGGTTGTATTGGCAAAGGACAGACATGTAGATCAACTGAACAGAATAGAGTCTAGAAATAGACCAACACAAATGTGGTCAATTGATTTTTGACAAAGGTGCAAAGGTAATTAATCTTTTCAACAAAGGGTGTTGGAACTATTGGACATCCATCCATATCCCAAAAAAATGAACCTTACATCAGATACAAAATTAACTCAATTTTGTTGAGTTAACACATACTAAGTGTAAAACCTAAAATTACAAAACTTCTAGAGGAAGACAAAAGAGAAAACATTTGTGAACTTGGGTTCAGCAAAGGGATTTTAGGTATGACCCCAAAGCACAATTCATGAAAGAAAGAATTGATAAATTGGAGTTTATCAAAATTAAAAACTACTCTGTCAATGATACTGTTAAGAGACTGAAAAGATAAGCCAAAGACTAGGAGAAAATATTTGTAGATCACCTATCTGATAAGACTTGTATCCAGGGGTGGCCAGAGTGGCTCAGTCAGATAAGCGGCTGACGCCTGATTTCAGCTGGGGTCATGATCTCAGGGTCCTGGGATTGAGCCCCATGTCAGGCTCCACACTCACTGGGGAGTCTGCTTCAGGAGTCTCTTCTCCCTCCCTCTCCCTCTGCCCCTCCCCCTGCTCATGCTCACTCTCTCTGTCTCTCTCAAATAAATAATCTTAAAAAAAAAAAAAAAAAGACTTGTATCCAGGGGGCCCCTGTCTGGCTCAGTTGGTAGAGCATGCAACCCTTGATGCTGGGGTCATAAGTTCAAGCCCCATGTTGGGTCTAGAGCTTACTTAAAAACAAAAAGCAAAAAAATAGTAACTCAATAATAAGAAAACTCAAAAAATAGGCGAAAATTTGAATCATCAAAGAACACATAATAATGGCAAACAAGCATATGAAAAGATGTTTAACATCATTAACCATTAGGGAATTGCAAATTAAAACCACACTGGGATAGCATTACCTACCTATTAGAATGGCTAAAAATAAAAAAACCAAGCAAGGGGCACCTGGGTGGCTCAGTCGTTAAATGTCTGCCTTCGGCTCAGGTCATGATCCCAGGATCTTGGGATCGAGCCCCGCATCGGGCTCCCTGCTCGGCAGGAAGCCTGCTTCTCCCTCTCCCACTCCCCCTGCTTGTGTTCCCTCTCTCGCTGTGTCTCTCTCTGTCAAATAAATAAAAAAAAAAAATCTTAAAAAAAAACCCAAAATAAATAGCATCAAGTGCTGACAAGAAAGGGAAGCAACTGAACTCTCATCCATTATTGCTGGGAATGCAAAATGGTACAGCTACTTAGAAAAAGAGTTTGGTAATTTCTTAAGTTAAACATACACTTACCATATGATCCAACCATTCTACTTATAAGTAATTACACAAGAAAAATAAAAACTCATGTTCACACAAAAACCTGTATACAAATGTTTATAGTGACTTTATTCATATTTCCACCCAAACTGAAAAAAAACAATGTCTTTTTTTTTTTTTTTTTTTTTTATTTGACAGAGGGAGACACAGCGAGAGAGGGAACACAAGCAGGGGGAGTGGAAGAGGGAGAAGCAGGCTTCCCGCAGAGCAGGGAGCCCGATGCGGGGCTCGATCCCAAGACCCTGGGATCATGACCCGAGCCGAAGGAAGACACTTAACGACTGAGCCACCCAGGCGCCCCAAAAACCAATATGTCTTTAAAGGAAGGAAAGAAAAAGGAAAGGAAAAGGTGAAGGAAAAAACAAACTACGGTTCATCCAAACAATGGAATACTACTCAGAAATAAAAAGGCACAACAGACCAGCGATAGACACACAGCACAACATGATGGCTCTCAAATGCATTAGGCTAAGCAAAAGAAGTCAGGCCAAAAGGCTGCACAATTTCACTTATATGACATTCTGAAAAGGCAAAACTATAGGGAGAGGGAAGAGATCTATGGTTGCCAGAGGTTGGGGGTGGAGGACGGGTATGATTACAGAAGGGCAGCATGAGGGAATGGTTTTTGGGTGATGGCACTGTTCTGTATTTTGATTACACTGGTGATAACATGACTATGCATCTGTCAAAACTCAAGGACATGTACACCAAGAAGAGTGAGTGTAAAATATATAAATGAAAATACCTTTCTTAATTGAAATGACGGTTTAGGGCTGGAGACTAATCCATGATGAAAGGCTAAAGAGACTAGAATGCTTACTTTTTAGAAAAGCAGGTTTAAAAAGCACATTGTATCTGCTTTCAAATGAATCCACAAAATTATTTTGGGCCCCAAATCAAGAACACTGAAAATAAAGGAATGCAACTCGACAACATGATAGCTAAATTTAAGCTTAAAACTATACCTGAAATCTGGTATGTCAATTATATCTTAATAAAACTGCTATTTAAAAAAACCCAAAAAATATACCTGAAAAACTTTTTTTTTCCTTTACCCAAGCGTTTCCCAAACTTTTCTAGTAAGAATCAGATGAAAACCTGTTAAAAATAGATATTCCCAGGTCCCTTCTCTTGAGATTCTGATTTTGTAGTCTAGGTTAGGGACCAGAGAACTTTTAAACTGCACCCCTAAAAAAGGAACTTTTTAAGGAAAACAACTGCTACTCATAATTCTTTCTTAGCTACAAGGTCAAGGAAAAAAATTTTTGTCTATTTGGTCATGATCTGAAAGTTTTCTAGTATACCAGAATAGTGATTTCTGCATTGAAATAATCACACATCAGAAAAATTCAAGATGATCCACTGGGATACGAAAGAAAATACAGGTGATGCTTGAAAAACATGGGGGGTTAGGGTGCTGACCCCTTGCGCAGTTGAAAACCCGCATATAGCTTGTGACTCCTCAAAAACTTAACTATTAATAGCGTACCGTTGACCAGATGCCTTACTGATAACAGTCTTTTAATGCATATTTTTTATGTTCTACATATTACATACTACATTCTTACAATAAAGTAAGCCAGAGAAAAGATTAAGGAAGAGGAAACACATTTATAGTACTGTATCAAAAAAAAAAGCCACATATTAAGTGGACCCACATAGTTCAAACCTGTGTTGTTCAAAGGTCAACTGTATTGGTCTTCTATACAAATTTACTTTAAACCTCATACTTCAAAATTTTCTATTTTAGGTTTGTGTTTTATAATGCATACATAAATCAGTGCAATAGTGCATGCTTATTTTTCCCCCCCAATAGGATGTGTGATCAAAAAGAGCAGAAACCACTGCCCTGGACTCCTGATTTATTATCTCCCCCCTAAATTTGACCAGTCTTCATCCTCTCTCCTATTTTGCAATAAGACCCCCACAATCCTCATATATAATATCTGCCACCACTCTTTGCCTACCCAACACCATTCATTATGCCTATATTGACACCATTCATTATGCCTATATTGACACCCCAGGGAGGAGAGCATCATCACTCTGGATAAAGGACACAGCTTTTTTCCTTGACTGAGATCTGAAAAGCTGCTTATTATATTGTATCTAATATGAAATTTGGAAAGTGCCTACCTTTCTATACTACTCTTAAAGTCCAGTTGAGTACTGGCACTTGGAAGATTCCACTCAACAACGAAATTGTTGTGATTTCGATCCTTCACAGGTGTCTTTTTTTTTTTTAAGATTTTATTTATTTATTTGAGAGAGAGAATGAGAGAGAGAGAGCATGAGAGGGGGGAGGGTCAGAGGGAGAAGCAGACTCCCTGCCGAGCAGGGAGCCCGATGCGGGACTCGATCCCGGGACTCCAGGATCATGACCTGAGCCGAAGGCAGTCGCTTAACCAACTGAGCCACCCAGGCGCCCCTTCACAGGTGTCTGAAGTTTCGTGACAAGCAGTAATCTGATTTTGCTGAGTCACAAATCTAAATCAAGTATGTTTCCAGGTGTGAGGACCAAACTGTCTAGCAGGTAAGTGACCCAAGCCGCCTGCCCAGTATTTACTCTCACATACCTATACTCCTCGTTCTCTGCTCATTGTTCTTAGGGTCAGGAAAGACTTCTTTCACTTTTTTGGCTCTCCTTTACTGCAGAGATCCCCACCAAATACCTTCAAGTTTACTGTAAAGACTCCTTGAATCCAAATGTGTATAATCTGTTTATTTTTTCAATTAAAGAACACTAAAAATACAATTACTATCATGTAGAATTTGGGAAGTTTTTAACTGGGCTTTAAAAAAGGACTGTCATACTTAGACTGGAATTCATGCATTACTGCAAATAAATCTTACGTGGTATTCATGAATTGGGGATTCAATTCACAAACTGCTAAGGATGTGTTCAATGTCAAAGATGTCAGAAGATATGTTTTAAGAACTCTTCCCAGGGTAGAATTCCATGGCAAATATGAAGTATGTTCAGGAAAAAAACCCACTAGGCTTCTCCTTTCAACCCTCTATGTCAACAACATATCTCAAAGCAGACCCTCTTCTTTCTCACCCTCAAGAATATCTTCATAAAGTGCGTGTACTCCTTCGGGCACGATGACCGCCAGTGCAGTTCCACAGAGAAGGCCAGCACCCAAAACAGTCACCAGCTTTAGCCGCTCCTGGAAAGGAAACACAAGAAACTGATGAAAAGATTGATGACTGAATGAGAAAAAGTTTCTGAGGTATCTGTAATCAAGACCATGAGCTGCTCATTTGTGAGACCAAAATCTACAATAGCCAATGAACATGAAACAGGGTCAGCTTCATGAAGAATTAATGCCAATTAAAAAAAACCCAGGGAGATGCCACTTACAAATTTGCCAGATTGGCAATGATGTGGGAAAACGTGTCTATTATCCATGATGGGAGAAGAGAGCACACTTGTCCGATGCTGGGAGAAATGTAAATTGCTACATCCTACATGGACCGCTATTTGGTGATTTCAGTTTGAAGCCTCCAAAATGTGAATTCTTTGATCCAGCAATTTCACTTCTAGAAATTCATCCTAAGAAAGAACTATGCAAAGATGATCACCGCACTAAGAGTGCAAACCTGAAAATATCCTAAATGTTCAAACAAGGAGTTTGATTGAGTAAACCATAATACTTCATCACAGTACAACACCGCGCCATTATATGATTCAGGTCTATTCATGGATACAGAAAGTCATGATGCACTACTATGAGGAAAAAGCTGGTGGCAAACCATATGCACTGATAATTTTATTACAAATCTCATATTTGTAATAAAAAGTATACACGTAAGTAGAACAAGTGTAAATCAAACATTAACAAATTTTTGACTTTATAATATATAAACATAATATGTAATATACAACTTATAAAAACATATTTGTAACTGAGCTACAATGAACATGTATTACTCATACAATAAAAAAATGTGCTTAATTAATTCAGTACTAAAATGTTCTACGGATGTCTTTAAAAACTGCTTTACTGAGGTATGACTGAAATACCAAAAGCTGTAGGATGTTTAATGTATACAACTTGACGTGTATGGAGATAAACATATATCTGTGAAACCATCATCACAATCTATGCCATAAATGATCTACGGTTTTAATCCAACCTAATCTCAATTTTTTTCTTACTACCCAAATTTCTTTGAGAGACTGCCTCCTGACATACAAGATATAAAAGATTACATTTCAAAATTTCTTTTTTTTTTTTTAAGATTTTATTTATTTATTTGACAGAGAGAGACACAGTGAGAGTGGGAACACAAGCAGGGGGAGTGGGAGAGGGAGAAGCAGGCTTCCCGCTGAGCAGGGAGCCCGATGTGGGGCTCAATCCCAAGACCCTGGGATCATGACCTGAGCAGAAGGGAGATGTTTAATGACTGAGCCACCCAGGCACCCCCATTTCAAAATTTTTTTTTTTTTTTTAAAGATTTTATTTTATTTATTTGACAGAGAGAGAGAGACAGCTAGAGAGGGAACACAAGCAGGGGGAGTGGGAGAGGGAGAAGCAGGCTCCTGGCCGAGCAGGGAGCCCGATGCGGGGCTCGATCCCAGGTCTCTGGAATCATGACCTGAGCCGAAGGCAGACGCTTAACGACTGAGCCACCCAGGCGCCCCCATTTCAAAATTTCTTGAGGCAGTGGTGTACCCTATACGGCTTCCTGGAGTCTTAGCAGTATGAAAAATGACCTTAAAAACTAAAAGGAGGAAATTATGTACATTACTTAAGAAAAAGTTTCACTAATTAATGGAATGTCATGTACTTCACTTCTGTTTTAGTTTCCTTTATGAGGTTAGCAAAAATAACAGTGGCTGTATTATCTCTGACATACTACTGCACTTGTGACTCTGAGGCTAGGGGAATAAATATATAATATACACATACATACATACATATACACTGTCTCTATAGGAAAATGGGTTCTTAGCTGACAGGCTGGTTGAAGCATTACCACCCCCTCGTTTGGGAGGAAGAAAGGAATCTATATCTCATCGTGTCTCTAGTGAAAATGGAGAAACTACAGTTGCAAAGTCAGCACCAACTAATACTTGCCATATAGCAAGAGGAGAAGCCCCCACTCCCTAGCACACAGGCCAGGTTGGTCCTTCATACATTCAGGATGGCCATTATTAGCTACTTATAAATAGAGTATTCTGAATGCATCCGGCAGCTGGGGGCACTGGCTTGGGAGGTAGAACTGGCTCCATGTCCAAACTGGTTAATAATTCAGTACTTTAGCTTTTCTTCTGTAAAATAAATACTTCTACATGTCTTATATAGGAGGCAACGAGAAAGTGATTGACGCATTTTGGAAAAATTACACCAAACAACTGGTGTTACTATTTTATTTTATTTCTTTTGGTGTTACTATTTTAATATTTAATCCTGAGCTATTCTAAGAGCTTTTGTCGTTTACAAGTTACCAAACTCATCAAAGCACTGTTAATCACGGCATTCATTTGAGATGAACTGTCAGAGCATGGAGAACACGAGATGGAAAAACAGCTCTATTCTGTGTAGAAGGGGACATGGTATATGACTTAGTCTTCTCCTCATTTTCTCTAATGAATTCATAAAAGTCACCTTTGCTTTAAAAAAATTCATGAATGTAAAGTTTTACTCCCGAGGAAGGACAAAAATAATGGTAAACTGAACTGGACTGAGCATACCATTTCATTGTAGGGACTTGGTTTCAGAACTCCACAATTCAAACTAATGAATAAATTGCTAGGGAAGAAAATTGTCCTATCAGCATTTTGACTATGACTATGCTCTACTCTGGGAAATGGAAATGAAAGATGCCCCTGCATTGCAAATTAAGGGAAGATGAGAAGTGATGAAAGGGGTGTACTTAAAAGAGAAAAGAGCTGAGCACCCTCAAGAATTACTGGAGTGGCAGCTCACATCATACACATAAATTAATTCTTGATGGATTATACTTTAATATAAAAATCTAGAACACAAAAACTTCTAGAAGGAAGAATATTTTTGCAATCTTGATGTTGGCAAAATTTCTTAGCAAGGATACGCACACAAAAAGAATTTAAAACAGGGGCGCCTGAGATGAACCATAAGAGACGATGGACTCTGAAAAACAAACTGAGGGTTCTAGAGGGGAGGGGATGGGGGGATGTGTTAGCCTGGTGATGGGTATTAAAGAGGGCACGTTCTTGGAGCACCGGGTGTTATACGCAAACAATGAATCATGGAACACTACATCAAAAACTAATGATGTAATGTATGGTGATTAACATAATAAAAAAAAACTGACTGTAAAACAGGGGCGCCTGGGTGGCTCAGATGGTTGGGCGTCTGCCTTCGGCTCGGGTCATGATCTCAGGGTCCTGGGATCGAGTCCCGCATCGGGCTCCTTGCTTAGCAGGGAGCCTGCTTCTCCCTCTGCCTGCCACTCCCCCTGCTTGTACTCTCCCCCTCTCTCTGGCAAATAAATAAATGGAATCTTCAGGAAAAAAAAAAAGAATTTAAAACATATGCTGATCCACTAAGAAAATGGACAAGCTACATACTGGAAGAAAATATCCACAACACATATATCTGTAGTGGATGCTGGTAACACTGCCCACATCCATCTCCTCCAGGTTGGAGACACCTGTTTCCCTAGCTGCTGGGAGTGTTGCCTACTGATGGCTCACAGCTGAGTCTCTCTGAGGACCTTACTTTGGGCCAAAGGATACTGACTAACCTAAGACTATATTTCCTCTTGCAGGGCAGTTCACATCCCATGACTAGTCCCCTGGGTTGTCTGGAAGGAGGTACAAAGCCAGGTCCTCTTGCCTCAATTCCGGATATCTCTGAAGAGCCATCCAGCTTCAGAGCCAGGTGAGCTGAGGCCTCTACTGTACCGAATTACAATTCAACTTCTCCATCTGCTTAATTCTACTCATTCTTTCCCAGGTGTTATTCCCAAGAGCACTCCCCAATAAACTTCCTGCATGCAAATCTCCTTCTCAGAGTCTGTTTTCTGGGTAACCCAACCTAAGATACTGATAAAGGGCTTGTGAAATATAAAGAACTTCCACAACTTTCACAACTCAGTAAGAGGCAAAAACAAACAAAAAACCCACGCAACAAAAAATGGGTAAAATATTGAATAGGTACTTCACCAAAGATATATGAATGTCCAATACGCCCATGAAAAGATGCTCAGCATCTTTACTCACCAGGAAAATGCAAATCTAAACTACAAGATACTTCCTTACACCCACTAGAATGGCTCAGATTAAAGACTGACGACACTAAATGATGGCAAAGATACAGAGCAAGTGGAGCTCTCATGCATTGCTGCTGGGACCATGAAATGGTACAACCACTTTGGAAAACTATTAGTCTCTTATCAAGTTATTCTGCTATCAAGAATAACCTGATAAGTTATTCTCTTATCAGCAATTCCACTTTTGGTATTTTCCAAGAGAAATAAAAATGTATGTTCACAAAAACACTTGTACAAGAATGTTCATAGGAGCTTTAGCAATAAGAGGCACAATTTGATCAGATGTCCATCAAGAGGAGAATGTATAAACAAACTGTGGTATACTCATAAATGGAATACTACTCAATAACAAAAAGGAATAAACTACTGCTACAGACAGCAACCTGATGAAGTTCAAAAACATTATTCTGATGTTTAAATGAAAGAAGCCTTACACAAAAGAGTTACTTACTGTCCATTTATATGAAGTTTAAAAGCAGTCCAAACTAACCCTTGGCAAAAGAAATCAGAACAGTGGCTGCCTCCAGCAGAAGGGGTTAGTATGAGAACATAGTGGCAGGAGAGATTAACATTAACTAGAAAATGGCACCAGGTTATTTTTGTTAGGATGATGGGACTGTTCTAAATCTTGACTGGGACATGACGGACATTTGTATACATCTGTCAAAGTTCATCAAACTGCATTAAGATAGGTGCCTTTTACTCTACAAAATTACATATCTATAAAAAATTACCTGGGTACTAATTTACTCTGCCAGGAGCCCTGAAAGGATTCATTTTAGAACTATTCAATTGTAACAAAGCTTCTTCATGGCAGCTCTTTGAAACCAAGCTCAGAGTCTATGTATAATACTAAAAGGCACTTCCAAAATTCTTTCTTAAACAATTCATCTGTTAGACGAACCAT